TATCTTTAAGAAACAAAGAAAACAATTTTTTGAAATTTTTTTATCTGAAACTTTCTACTGGCCATCATGGCTGTCCTAATTTAATGATGGTCACGCTACCTGCTTGTTTTCGTTTTGAAAAAGGTATGCTCTATAAAATTTTTCGCGAAGAAACTGCAATTTGAAAACTGCAAAATTATAGATATACATTAATAAAGAAAACGACAGATACAAATCTTAATCTGATGAAATTTACGGCATAACCATTAACTCGTATTTCATTTTAAAATTTTTATGACTACAAGATGGAGTCATATAGTGATGTTTTTCCGAAACTTCAGATTTTAACTGTTTTTTGTTCCGAATTTCAATACGAAAGTAACGGAATATTTGTATTCGGGGTGATTTTTTTTTCTTCAGACGAATATCGACTTTTTAACTAGCCCTTTTTGTCGGAATTTTTTATATCATTCGAAAAGTATTGTTGTCCTGAGCTTAAATTTGAAAAGATATTTCAGCTGCGATGTTTTTTGGAAAGTTATGGGGGTTTAAATATTGGCATTTTGGCCAATGGGACAATTAATGCGCGATATATTTCGCACTTTTAAAGCGTAAACGGAGATTTAATCCGTTCTGGAAATCGTTCCAATTTGGTTGAAATAAGCTTATTTGTCATAATTGTTTGTTACTAGCAGCGAAATTTATTCTTTTGTACTTTATAGGGCATGTGGGGGGATGATTTTCATAAAAAAGTTCAAATTTCAAAAAAAAATTTCATTTTGTTTTATTACATTCAATTTTTTCATGTTATTACTGCTCCATAAAACTTAAAAGGCAGTCAGAACACTCAGGGCTTCGCCCTGATACGAGCGGTCTTATTTTTGTTTGAAAACCATTGAATGTCAAAAACGCATTAAGGTTGACGAAACAAAGTCCTTTTTGCAATCAAAGGGACACGTCTGTCTGATGATAATGATGAAGCATGAACTTGATAAAGAAAAGTGTAGTTGGTTCTAAAACATGTTTAATTGATTTGACTGATAATATGGAAATGGAAAATTTTATAGCCCACAAAAAAATTTTCTACAGGCCATCGTGGTTGGCGTAGTTTAATGGTTACGCTCCCTGCTTGGTTTCATTTTGAACAAGAATATACTGTTTAAAATGTCTTGTGAAAAAACTGCAATTTTAAAAACGCAAAATCATAGATTTACATAAAGGAGGAAAAATGACTGATCCAAACCGTTATCGCTCCGGCGAGTTGTTTGAACAAATTTATCATTAAAACTAAAATTAACTCTTTCAACCAATTCAGTTTCCGGATAAAGCCACTCATGTATCTATGTTATCACAAAAATAACAGTTTACTTACTCAAAAATCAATCGAGAAAAAACAATACATCTATGCCTCTTTTGTTTATCTACTTTCAATAAGGTTATTGATGAAATTCTCGCAACCGGTAACAGCAAGTTTTTGCAGGAAATTGGGTTGTTGATCAAAGAGCTACTTCAAAAACAGAAAAAAAGTTGCTCAAAAGTGTTTTTTTTTCGTATCATTATTTAAAAATACAACTTGCGGTGTGGGACAATTTTTCAGCTGCTTTATATCAATGATCGGACTAATTATTTTTTGAAATGAAACTTTCTGCAAGCGATCGACTGGTCTTTTTATTTCATCGTTCAAAAACGCAACCAGTGGTGTGCGATTTTTTTTGTTCCTGCTTTAATTGAATGATCTAATGGGTCATCTACACTATAGTGAAGGAAAATTTTGCTGACCTTTTTGAAAATTGCAAAGTTGGCAACCAGACTATTAGCACCGGAATATATAATTAAATAGAATTTTGTATTAAAAAATGCTCTGGAAAACGAAACCATTCAATGAAAGATGAAAAAATTTTCCGTTACAACAAATTCAAGCAATCAAGTTAATTGATGGAATTGAAATTGTAGTTCAACAATCTTGTACTTAATAAATAACATGAGTTGGACAAATTCGAAAGTGTTTTACTTTGTGCTCAAATTTTTGTGCTCGAAGAATCACTTACACCACTGTCAAGTGATGTATATCACTCAGTAATATCAAAATTCAAACACGCTGCTGAAAGAAGATAATTTTTGTAATTCTAGAACTTGGATTTTTAACACCGGAACATTTAATTAAAGGGAATTGGGAAAAAATGCTAGAAAACGTTGAAAAGTACTTTTACATTTCGTTGAAATAAAAAAATTCAGTTAGGAAAAAAATCAAATAGTCACGCAATTTGTTACAATTGAAAAAAAATTCAACGATTTTGAAACTGATTTCTGTTGTTTTCAATGCAAAATTCAAAAGAGACAAATAGTTGGGTAAACTATGTTAAGAGACAAAAAATACGCTCACAATTTTTTTTTGTGCTCAAAATTTTTTTTAGAATTTTTTTATTCAGCTTTATACCCAATTATGTGTTGTTTATGTACGGTATTTTTTCCAGGGATACACTTTGTATATAATTCTAAACAAAATGCTGATGGTTAACAAAAATTGCCAGGTTTTAATTTTCCATTACGAGGCCAAACTATGCACTGGATAGGAGCACAATGTATTCCAGAGACAACTTTTTAAATATATTCCAAAATGTAAGTGAATTCCACTAACAAAATTTTAGTGGATTCCGCGTACAAATACGTGTAACATAAATTTTGTCGGCACACTTGTTTTGTTGCGGATTCCGCAACAAGCTGATATAGCTGTTTGTTCTGGATTCCGCAACTGTAAGTGGATTCCGCAAAATGTAAGTGGAATCCGCAAATGTAAGTGGAATCCGCAAAATTTGTAAGCGGAATCAGCAGACTGTAAAGAAATTCAGAAAATTGCTTACTTGCATATGCACTTGCGGAATTTAAAAGCAAGGATTTAACCATTGTCAGCGGAATCCACGAACAAATCTTAAAACATTGGTTAACTTAATCGATGGCTGTCACACTTTAGTAGTTGCGAGCAGTTTTTGGGATCATAATTTTGGAAACACAACACCAAATAAATTCATTGGGTTAATTCGGTAATTGGGTTAACTCATTATTGGGTTGACATATGGCCAAATTAGGTCAGTGTTTGAGATTCAGTAATTGAGATTCAGTACTTCGGATTTTGTATTTAAGAATCAGTTTTTGCGAGCCTGAATTCAAATCATTTTGTTCACAGGCAGTAAATGATCTATTTAACTAATTTGAATAAATTAGTATTTGATAAAAATTACCAAAACTTGAATTACAGCAGAATCAAGTTTTAAGTTCAAAAATACGAATAAATAATCCTGAAACTGAATTCTGGTTTTGCACTTTTTTGTTTTTAATGAATGGCTTGAAATGAATTGATGAATAATTTACAGGAATTGAGATTGATGACAGGAATTGAGATCGAAGTTAACCTTTGTAGGAAGTGAGATTGAAGTTGGATATGTTTGACAAGAATTGAAATGAGATCGATGACAGGAATTGAGATTGAAATTAACCTTTGTAGGAAGTGAGATGGGTATATTTGTCAGGAATTGAGATCGAAGTTGGGTGTTTCGACAGGATTTGAGATCGAAGTTGTATGTTTGACAGGAACTGATATCGAACGTTTGGCATTCCAACTGGAAGCTGATCAATTTATTATTTAAAAGATATAGTTTTAAACACTACTACTCATAGATATATGTAAGCGAAATCCGCAAACAAAATGCGGATTCCACTTACAGTTTACGGATTTTACTTACAATTTGCGTTTTCTCTTACAGTTTGCGGATTCCACATGCAGTTGCGGATTCCACAACAGCTCAATTCAGCGATACACATGTCTCATTATTTGTTTTTGGATTCCACAAACTGTTCTGGATTCCGCAAATACGGTTGCGGATTTCGCAAATTTGCCTATTTTTGGCGCGATTTTGAACAGTACAGTGTTTTAGGTATTTGTTTGTGGAATCCAAAACAGCTGAGAAGATCAAAGAAATATAGCATTGTTGCGGGTTCCGCGACAAATCTGATTTGGGCTTGTTGCAGAATCCGCTTACAATGCACAGAATGCACAGTTTGGCCTCGTAATGTTCAAAGACAATTTGTTCACATATAGCAGGAACATGAAAAATTGACCTCGATATCAATCATGATATGTTTTTGGGGTAAATTATTTTGGAAATTGTGTCTGAGATACTTGATACATCACCAAGAATGTTTAAAAAAAAACAGAACAGTTAACAAAAACTTAACTCAAAATTTTTGAGCAAGGATTTGAATAGTTCATTTTTTGCGTTTTAAAATTATCAGATACGGAATAAATCTCCGCTTACGCGTCAATAGTGCGAAATATATCGCGCGTTAATTGTCCGAGTCTTTAAACCCCCATAACTTTACAAAAAATGATCACAGGTGAAATATTTTTTCAAATATAAGCTCAGGACAACAAAACTTTTTGAATGATAAAAAAAATTTTGTCAAAAATGGCTAGTTAAAAAGTCGAAAAATTTTTTGTAGCGAATTCAAACTCAATACGCCTAAAAATAAAATTTCGCGTCCCTATAAAGGATATTATGAATCTTTTCGCTTGCCTCAATTAAATTTGGAATGTTTTGTAGCAGAAATAATTCGCCGCTTACGCTACTCGTTACAAAAAAATGGGAATATTTGCACGTAAAATGAGAGCATCAATTTTCAGCTTTCAATCTACAGGAATCAATTAATTAATTTTCTTAGGACAGACGTCGGCTTGTTACCAATCAGTTTGAACGATTAAGATTCTTCACCTGCAGTTTTTTGCGAAGTTAATGAAAGTATAATATTATCACTATGGCCATAATTGGACAATAAAATTCGCAAAGAAACTGCAGTTTTTTGAAAAGTCTTTTTCTTTATAAACTGTTTACTCAAAAACTTAAGCTTTTGCCCAAAAAAAGAATAAGTTGTTTCGATACTTATTTGGAAAACTTGGAAACATTCCTTAAAAAAAGCATTGAGCAGTTTTGTAAGCTTATAGCTGACAGCTTGAATAGAGAAAACGCTGAAATGCTGAAAATATCAATTATGAAATAGCAGAATATTTTAATATGTATCCAGATTCACCAGATTGAAACCGAATAAATTGTTGAAAAGTGTTGGTTTAAATGAATAAAGAGTTTAGCTCCAATTTGTTAACTACTTTATTAAAATATGCGATTGAAATTCGATGATTAAATTGCTTGATTTAGAATGAAGTAAAAAATTGCTCAATATTTTTATATAATCATTGTCATGCGCGGCCTTTGCATTCAAATTACAAATGATTTAAATTAAGCGATTGCGCTCAGCTATCATTTGGTTAAATTGGCTCTGTAAAACCCAACCCATTTTAAAAGTTTTGCTTAAATTTCACATTAACTGAATTTTTTTTTGATATTTTTGGAGGTTACTATAAGAGCTAAGGCAATTGGATAGAAAGTGGTGTGTATCCTATAATAAAAGTTTTTTATTTTGACCTCTGGCCGCTTACTAAACGATAGTGGGCATGTCTAGACTAAGGGGCAGGAACATTTCGGTTTTGTCATTTTCTTCGTAGACAGTTATGAAGCTTAAAACTCAATATAAATTAAGGTGAGGTGTCAGTCTTCCTCTCCGTGTTATCTCTAAATCGTTCACTGATGAAGCGTGATGCGCGATGTTATAGCGGTGGCAGAAGGGAGGAGTTGTTCACGTCATACTTTTTCTAAAATATCGGTCGGGGGTGGAGGAGGTATGTTTTTATTATAATTATCCCCAGTGTAGCACTCCTTCCAGAAATGCGACCAGTACAAGAGACAGGAAGTAAATGATTGCAACAGGGACACTGAGCCACAGCTGATATACCCTCCTGTACTTCAGGGCCACTACACCCATGGCAGCCTCCACTGCCAGGATGGCAGTTACTTCGGCTGAGAAGTGCCACTGCAGTCCTCGGAAGAACACCAGACCACAGAACACTCCGAGACACAGTGTGTTGTTCATGATGGCCGCAGAGTACAGTTGCGTGTACGTCAGCACTAGGTTGTCCTGAAACAATTGAATTGCTTTATTTCAAACATGCTCGTTTTATTTTTGGATTCGGTGCTTTTTTCATCTGTCGCAATGATTTTAGTAAATGATTGTCAGATTGCTCGGATGATGTGCAAAAAAGCTTCGACTTTCGGCGAGTTTTTTTCAAAGTTTTTAACATCACTGGAGTTGCCAAATTCTGGGTAAGTTTCAACTACAAAAACTAATTAATCATTGAAGAACTATTTCGAATAGAAAAAAGTCAGGTTTAAGTTTAAGTTTTGTAAAATTTTGGGCGCCCATTTAAATAATGAGGAAGAGGCGTTAAAAATAAACTGAACATGATAACGCATAGATATTAGGTGAATCACATCAAATTATATCTTTAATCAAAATCAGGGGCGGATTTAGGGGGGGGGGGGCGGACGCCTTCTCTCAGGGATTCGACCCCCTGCTGACCCAAAGGGTCCCCCTTTGGTACTTTTTAAGAATTCCATTTTGGCCGACCGACCCTAAAATTTTTCTAAAGGCGCCTTAATATATAATAAATTTGAGCGGGAGCGCGCGCCAAAAAAACACGATTTTTTTGTCAAAATTTTCCAAAAAGGGCTCAAAAACGGCTTATTTGACCTGTTTTTTCAAAACAATTTTCTTTTTGGTGCTTTAGGAGAGCTCGGAAAATCAATTTGGTCGGCCCAAAAAATAGTCGCCAAAACTTTCGAGTTTTTTTTGAAAAACCGCCCTCCTTCCTCGAGAAAATCCTAGATCCGCCCCTGCATAGGATGGAAAAAAAGCACAAACCGACGATTCAGAGCCTTATGTCACCTTCTTCATCTTCCATTATAAAGAATCAGGAAAATTTAAACGGCTAATCCTTGTTTTTGCATGTTTGAAATTCATTTACTTTTCACATACTTTTCATTTACGGCTCACTTATCTGGATATTTTTTCTCTGGCATTAAAGTTATACTTCGACGTGTACAGTTTACCATAATTTAAGGCAGTGAAACAGGATGAGAGTGCAGCATAATTTACTCTATATAGAGGGTTTGCTTATTCCATCTATCAAACTATCACATTAGATTTTGTCTCAAGCCAATATTTCTTAAAAATTAAATAGCCCGAAATAAATAATTTTTATAGAGGAAAAAAGCGTTCAATTTGTAAATGATGGTTTGAAAAAGTGTGGAATGCTTTGCCTGCTCGTTTGGTTGATGTGTGTGTTGTGTGTGTGTGTGTTTGTGTGTGTTTGTGTGTGTGTGTGTGTGTGTGCGTGTGTGTGTGTGTGTGCGCGCGTGTGTGTGTGTGTGTGTGTGTGTGTGTGTGTTTGTGTGTGTGTGTGCGTGCGTGTGTGTGTGTGTGTGTGTGTGTGTGTTAGTGTAAGTGTGTGTGTGTGTGTGTGTGTGCGTGTGTGTGTGTGTGTGTGAGTGTGGGTGTGTGGACATATGGATACCTTTTCTTTCTTCATGGCGAATGAGATGGAGGAGATGAGCTCGGAGGCGTTACTGCAGAGGGGCGTGACCACGAATGAGACGTAGAAGGGGGAAATGGGCAGGTGCTGTCTCAACTTAGGGTCAGTCAGTCTGCTCAGAGTGTCACACATCGGGTCACTGAACACAGTCACCAGACCGACGCCTAAGGTCAATCAAGTTCAATGTGACAGAAACACTAACAAAATGTATGACATAAAATCAAAACACTATTGAACGTTTTCGCTCTGACCACAAAATTGAAAGGCAATTAGTATTCGGGTGTATTTTAGTTATTTCCTCTTAGGCTTAGGTGCCACAACTAAACGTCAGATTGGGTGGGGTGATAAGCCATATAAAATCACAATCAATTATGACTTGATTGATATCAAGTTAAAAACTTCTCTCAGTGTTGCTGCCGACAAAAACCCGCTAGAAAATTTTGTGTGAAGTTTATTTAGTCTTCTATCAGTTAAGAGCGATTAAAGTAAACGAGAAAAACAATCGATAGAGCTGAAAACTCTTTGATAGAGCCTAAAAAACGAAAATTCTAGCCAGTACTTAGAAAACTAGTATTTGAAGCTTCATTCTGCGTTTTCCTGGCACCGAAAATTCATATCTATGAAAATCAACTTCTACAATACATTTTAAAAGTTAGAAATTTTTTATAAGTTCTAAATAATATTCGTTTTGTTAATAATTGGCAATGATAAGAGCAGCCTTTTCTTATGTTTGAAATAAAAAACGATTCAAAAATAAATGTGCTTTGGACCCTTCTGTGCTAGTTGCGTACTAATCGGCAATTATTGTTGTTCCGGCAAATCTAAAATGGGAAGGAACTTTGTCGTGGGTCTTTTAGTGTTTTCTTTTGCTTTCCACGCGAAATCAGGAATCATAAAAAGAAGGGGTCGATGACTGGTATTGCAAGAAAGCCCTTTCAGTTGGAATCCGTACAACATTAAACAATTTGAAACAGTTTTCCCAGTGTCGAGAAAAACCGATTTAAATTTTGTAAGTTTTAGTCTTATTTCCAGCAAGTAGGTCTTAAAAAAATTTTTCAATAAAAAATGAAAAATATATAGTTTCACTCCAGGAAAACTAATTTTGGAAGCTTAATTTAGTAGTTCATCTTCGGCATTAAAAATTTTTGAAACTTTTTTTTTTCAAAAAAAAAGAAATAAACGGTTGTCGATTATATGTCTAATTCGCTAATGCTCAGTGCGTTTGTATAAAGATCTCATTACACCACGCACTAAAAACGAATTTTCTATGTTACTTGCACAATAACCGGCTACCCACATTTTCAGATTTCAACATGTCACAGAAAAACTTTCGGGAAACATAACAAGTATCTCGAAGTTATGCGAAAAAGTCTCTGTCTATTTAGTACTCCAACTGCATGTTTGTTCTCACCTGTCGTGAGCAGAGCTAGTGACTTGAACATGACCAAACTTCTTGATTCCTTCTCACTCGATGTTCCCTCTCCCTCCCTCTCCCCTTCCGTCTTCTCTTTCTTCTGTGCATCTCCTCCCACAGACCCATTCTGCATCTTGTGCATCTCTATCCCCTCCCCCTGCTGCTCCCCTCCCCCCTCAATTGCGCCGTAGTGTCCCCCACCCCCATCGGAAGACTCAATATCCCCCATGTTGTCCCGGTGGTGTTTGCGCACTCTGGCGTGGATGCGCCACGTCGCAAAGTATTTTTTCTCTAACATGTGTTCTCTAAATATTAAAAGAATACAGTTCCTCATTTCTGTGTTTTTTTTTTGCTTTTTGATGGTTTAAAAAATTGATTTTCTGAAGAAAATCATGAATAGTTTTAGTATTAATTCATTTCTTATCTCTCAAAAACAACGATTTCATGTGCCATAATGATCCGAAAACTTCCAAAAAGAATTGAAAAAACTTGTTCTTGGATATTAGGAAAGAAAACTAACAACTAGCATGTTTTTTTTTCTCGAGTCTGAATCAAGGGAGGTCGAGATCTAAATATGACTGCTCCATAAAAAAAGGTTTGTTCTGAAGCCCTTCCTATGAAATCTTCTTCACACCTGTGGCTCACTTATCTGGATATTTTTCCTCTGGCCTTAAAGTTTCACTTTGATGTGTAGAGTTTACAATAATTTAGGGCCGAGAAATAGAGCGAGAGCGCAGCATAATTTTATATAGAGGGTTCAATCTAGCTATCAATTAATCACATTAGATTATGTGTCTCAAGTCAGTGTTTCATGAAAACTAAAATAGACCAATTTTAGTTTTTTAACAAAAAAAGCGTTCGATTTGTAAATGGCATTTTAAAAAAGTGTGAAATGTATTGTGTGAGGTTTTTTGAGGTCATATATGAGGAATAAATAGGATTTCAATCCAAAATCGGACAATTACAGATGGAATTTAATAGGTCGGGCGGAAGCAACCCCTTTCTTTGAACTGACTGTATTTACCTGTAATCTGGATTGTCCTGTAATTGAGTGTATCCATATTGCGACTGATGTTGCTGCCCACCCCCATTCGAGCCCCAAGCTCCACCCGTCTTCCCTCCTCCAGAAAAGGGGTATCCTGGAGCTCCTGTTGGACCTAGAGAAACACAAACATGTTTAGAATCAGACGGACACGTCAATCGATACCTGAGCTAAATTAAAACTGCATTAAAACAAGATGATTTCATATTGCTTAAATAAAGCCAGAACAGATACCTGTTTATATAAAAACTAAGAGTCAATTGTACTACAATTCTCTGATTTTCAATGCAAATCTTGCTATGTAGATGAACCATTACGTCGCTTTCCCATTATGAATCTTCCCCTAAACCGTAGAGCCTTCTTCTATAGATGTATGAGTTTTGAGAATGATTTCTGAATAAAAGTTGTAATTCCAGACACTTAAGACTTGAGGAGAATCATTTTTATGTGATCAAATACCTAATTAATGGTTTTAACAGTTTTTCTTATAAAAATAACGGATATATTTAACTATTAACCTAGAGCTCTCAAATTTGTGCTAGTCTAATTAGTTTGATGTTATGCAATGCCAAAACTATATATCAACAAGGATAGCCGGTTGCTGTGGATTCTTTAACAATTACATAAAAGTTTTTTTTTCAATTAGTGTTGTTTTTGTGCGAGGTGGTTATGAAAGGATCTGAAAAATCCTCAAACTTAGGTATGTTCGACATTCACAAAAAATAGACAAATCGAACCTCAATTTTTGACAAAAAATGACGCGAAAAAAATGTAAACAAAATCCAAAAAAATGCAAACATTTTTTCCAATTTTTTTTGCAGCCATTGTTCTGTTTCTTTTTTTTTTGAAAAATTGTTATTCCAAAAATTGCGCTTAACAACTTCAAAAAACCATTTTCTTAAACGTTTTATGGTACATCGTTCTATATGTGCGCGCTGGTTTTAGTCGCTTGCAATTAGACTAGCACTCAAAAATTTCAAACCCGTTTTTCTCGACACTGGGACAACTTTTTGAAAAATTCGTTCGAATCAAAATTAAAAAGGATGTTGTATGATACATCATTCCTTCCATTACGATGATAATTTGTGACCAGTTTTTTGATTGAAAAACAAAATAAGCCTGCTCGCTCACCGCATTTGCTCAAAATTAGACCAAAAATCAAATATTTGGGGCGGGTTTTCTCATTACTGAGGAATTTTTTCATTTTTTTTATTTCGTTCAAGTTACGAAGAGAAAAAAGTTTAATTTGATTTATTATGAATATTTGAATAATTGCGGCACTTGATTTTTCATAAAAACATAAAAAAGGAGAAAAAAACCCAAAACACCCGAATACACAGTTCTTACCCATTTTTCAATTGTTCGAAATCCGTAATAAAGTTTTTTTTTTCAAATCACATGACAAATTAACTTAGTGGGACAAAGCAAACCTAAAATTTGTTTTTCACAATTGATATTAGACGTTTACTTCTGTACTTTTTTTTAAAAATGTGCCTGGGAGAAGAATTTCTAATAAGTTTGTCAGATTTATCAAGTCGTTTTGCTTTGAGATGGATTTTTTGCAGCCCTTATTGTGTATTGAAAAGTATAAACAATCCTGTCAATTTTAGCATTAATTTAACCAAAATACTTATTTTACTCACCTAAGTAATTTTGTTTCAAACAAATTGAGACAAAATTAATCATTGTTAGGGCAAAAATAAGTCAGATCAATTTTGATAACTCAATTGCAACATATAGTTTCCTCACATGGTTCGACATAAAATTCTGAAAATCAGAACATAACTATAAGGTAAAAAGTTTTATTGAGTTTGTCAGGATAAACGTTTTTAAAAAACTGTTATACCGCCGTTTTGTTTATCGTGAAAGTCATTGTCCTATTAGTCGTGTGATGGTATGCTTAATCTGAAGTTCTTGTATCTCATTCTTTTTTCTGGTAGGTTGAACAAGCTTGAATTTGCATTTTATTTGATGATAATGTTTTGTTTTCTATCATTTTAACATTTGAGTTTCGATTCATTGCTTTATTTTTTCATTCCAGTAATTTTTGCATTTTTGCTTGATTATTTTTTTCCTGTTTCCGAAAAAATTGCTGTTTTCACCTTTAGAGTGTAGGTATGTTTTCCAATTTGAGTTTAATCATATTCATAACTATTTTGTTACATTTTGCCTCAGAAGTTACATGTGGTTAAGCTCCATTTTACCTCGTCATAGCAACTCAAATATCACAAATAAAGTTTCAAGGCAACCATCTGAAATATTGGAAGTCAAAATTAAAGTTTTTTCCTTTTTTTAAATATCAAATTTCGTGAAACAATTAAAATCGTACCGTAATCTTAAACTTTCCGTTTATACTTTTCATAAATTGAGAACTATATTGTGAATACATTTTTTTGCGTTATTTCTTCCGATAAATAAAAAAATATGGGTACATAATTTCACCTTCAAGCCGTTTCTTTTTGAATTAGAATTGAAACTTATTTTCATTAAATTTTATTTTATATTAAGCTTGCAGACAATCTGAAGCAAGGCAACCAGGGGAAACCTTTTTGGAATTTTTTCGCAAACATTTTTGATTTTAACATCAAAAATTCCGATAAAAAATTTGAAATTTGTTTTTGTGATGGTTTTGTTCAATAATCATGTTGAATACTCCGAAAAAGATGTAGATAAGAGCTACAACAAAGTCTGGAGTAACGAATACAGGACTTAACCAGCTTGCTGCTCCGACTTTCGAAGGCGAAGAATACATATGCTATGAGTGTTTTTTTTCTAAATTTAGACTAATGGTCGAAAGAGTATTTGTATCTTTGTGGGATCAATATTTAGAACCCCACTATATTTAGAATTTTTTGAACCTCACACTATATTATTCTGCCACGAGACGATCTTAACTGATCGTTTTTTAATTTGATGCTGAAAAAATCAGACGAATTGCTCACGCGTGACGATTTTTCCCGCACTACTATTCGTTCCAAATTGAATTTAATGCAAGTCATTTGGTTTGATTAATTCCATGAACAAAAGCGTAAGAACGTTCAGTTAAAAGGTTGTCGGAACATTCCGGGCTTTGCCCTGTTACCAGCAGTCGGTCTAAAAGTTTGGCTGCTGCTACAAATAAAATGTATTTTTGATGTACAAGAAAAAATTATCTACCAACCCAAATTTGTTTGTGATAGGCCATAAATGGTATTGTCATCGAAAAAATGTAACCGGGTAAAATTGTCATAGAATTTTCATGCAAATCTATGAGCATAAGAAATTGCACGAAATGTCTATGATTAGTGATTTTTCATATATGGAAATTGTATGACTAGAAGTATTCCATAAATAAAAAAAAATCGATTTTGTTCAAAATTTTTGGGTTGTGTTCGTAACCGAACACAAGTGACAAAGACCTTGGTTTGCTCAATATTAGAGTCACCATAGGTTAGATTGTCTTGTGAAATGTTTTTTTTTGGGGGGGGGGAAGTTCTTAACTACTTTAAAAGATTTTTGTTGTCGTCATCAAAAAAAGCAAGTCGCAAAAAATAAAATGTTTGCAATTTTTTTTATATTTATGATGATACACCGACTTTTAAAGCAAAAAAAGGAGAAATATCTTTTGAAATTTCGATGACACCATTTTAGTAAAATGTATGAAGTTTGTATGACTAGTATTTTTTCATAGACTTAGTTAATGGAATTGTATGATTAGCATTTTTGGTCTATGGAGGTCAACCCGGGCTACCACCGTTTGTGACATACTGTATAGCCAAATAGTTCTTTGAGAATCACTTAATATCTTTTACAGACTATTACATTTTCAAAATCTTTGACCTAATAAAATGATTGTAACTTGATTATTTGAATGAACGCTTTCACTAAGCTAAGTGGGTTTCCATACCTTGATGTAAATTCGTGATCAGAACCATAGGAAGTCAAAATTCTATGCAACCTGCCCTACTAACGATTCTGATAGCCAAAAATTTCAATTTTTAACGGATGCGAGCCCGGGAATTTTTTGAGGGGGAACTTATGATGAATTGTCAGAATATTTCGTCGCTTTTTTTAGGTCGACAAAATCGATTTTCCGTGCTCTCAAAAAAAAGGGCAATACACAATTTTGTCAAAAGTATTTGCGCTACAATCGAGCTTTGGAAAAACAAACAATAAATGACATTTTAGGTGACCTGTGTTGAAGTTTGTATTCTCCCATAAAATTTTTTGATACTGGCGCTGATTGCTTTTTCAAAAAAAGGTGGTAAACTACCACTAAAGGGGGGCAGGGGGTAGAGGAGAGGGTTAATCCTGCCCGCTGCACGCTACTCACCTCTCCTCCTCAATTTTTCCAGATGTGGTCCTGATTTGATCATTGAGAGGTAAAAAGGCTTAAAGGTTCTTGCCTTTAAAAAAACGCTTAACGCTTACTAAATAATAATTTAGATAAAATGAGAAAAATCATTAATTTTTCTCAGTGAAAGAGCGAAATGATACATTTATTTATATTAATGTATCAAAAATAATGACGCCAACATTGAAAATTGGGTGCAGAGATAATACACCAACAGAAGTTTCAAACACAGATAAATCAACATAAAACACCAGAAAACGTCAGCTCAATACAATTCAGCTTAAGACATGTGAAAAATTGAAAAAAAAAATCAAAAAATCAAAACAAAACTGCTATGCATAAAGTTTGTAGGATAGATGCACACTAAAGGTACAAAGTCTTAAATAATTTTGCATATATTTTCAGTTGCACATCGATTTTCCATTTTTTTGATAATGACGTCGGGCATTGGTCTTTCCACCTTATTTTAACCTTTTTGCTCATCCTTGAAGCCTGGGATGAACTTGGAAAGGAATGGGTGCTTTGCTGACACAATTTTTTGAAAGTTGCCGTTTCGTTCCTCAAATACATTGTTCGGACGATGTTCTCCGTTAAAAAACTTATCAAAAACGTTCCGATCGACAATGTCAAATTTTGGTTTGACATGTCTTTTCCATCGTTAGGCACCAATAAGAAAGCCTTTGAATTAGTCCGAAAAGAAAGAAATTCTTCTGAATGATCCTCTTTTTAGAGCTAATCGATCGAATGCGATTGTTACGTCATCAACAAGTAAGATCGCACGACCAACCATTTTTGATATTTAGGCCAAAACTATCATTGTTCAAGTAATTAATTGTAAATCCAAGTTTTTGCACATTGCGTCATGCTGTCTGGCCCAAGAGGAAAAAACAGAATTGAAGCTCTTTATCCAGCTTTGTTTCCTTAAAAACATTACCGTTGGTAGCACAAAATTGATTACTACCTCCTCCAAATAGTTCTGATTAGCAAAATTGTTTTTTTTTCGTATGTGTCGTGAGTGAGTGGGTTGTCGCGTATGTTAAAAACTTGGTAGAAGACGTCGTTCCGTCCCTGACATTGGACTGAGAAAACAGATTGAGCGTAAGTAATATTGCAAATATCAAAAATTGATTGTCTAATTCACCAGATAACCATAACTTGAGCGTATTGCCGCTGTGTGTGAATTTCAAAGGATCTGAATTTTCTTCGATGGTCTCAACTTGTTTTTCGTTTTGGCAATGATTTTGTAGCTTGCAGCCTAGTTTTGCTTATACGTCAACTTGGGCAATGAAGACAATCAGTCGGAGAATGTTACTAGTGTTTGTTATCTTTTCTCGAACTCCGTTAGCAAACTTCTCAGCTTAAACTTTTGAGAAACAAAAGTTTAAGCTTGGTGATTGAGCGTGCTCGGTGATTGAGTGTGTTCTGTCTTTAGGGTAAAATCTTGCATTTTCTCCAATTTCTCCAAATAACCCACAGCTTTGCAATTTCTGATTGAACATTGCCATAGTGAAAAGTCGTTTCTGAATTTTTTTACGGTATTTTTTTCACCAAAATAAACATGGTTTTTCTGCTTTCAGATAGTACAATTTCTACTTTATATGTCAAACTTTCATTAAAGTCTTTGAATGAGAATTATTCAGATAATCTTCCACATTTCATTAGACTTAGTTACTTAATGAGGATTAAAACAAAGTGATTGTTTGAATGAACCAACTAACTGAAAAATTTTGGTGTTAAACTCGGGACCGGTTTCTGGTTGGACAAAACTTGAATTGCCATTAATTTAAATTTTAGGAAGCTTAATTTTCTCTTTAGTTTTAACCAACAACTCAAAAAACCTGATAGGTGGTTGCACGCTCCCCCGCCTGTGACTTCATAAGAATAACAGCGTCACTGTGTGGCCGATACGTGGCAAGGGTGGTCAACTTCTAACTAATAACCTTTTTGACCGTCTAAAAAATCTCTTTTGTGGGTCTGCTTTTTGTGTAAATTGGTCTGCTTTTTGTGTAACTTCTAACTATTTGCTTTTTTCCCATTAGGTTTGATTTTAATTTAGCCACGATTTTAAATTTGCGAGCACTATGATTTCTATAAAAATCTCATTGTCAGGGAACTTTTGATTTTTTAAACTTAATTGTTTCATGTTTAATTAAAAGGAAGAATTAGAATAATCAGAAGCCATCTAATTAAAATTTTGAGGTTTAACAGCATGTGAAAAATTTTTTCAGCGCACATTTTAAGACGTTAAAATTTGCGGAAAAGTTGTCGGCCGAATTGTCTCACTCAGTTTTCTGAGATGTCTAAATTTGAAACTAGTTAATATGTCTATGACCAAACTGTTTGATCGCCAAAAAGTGAAATACCCGAAATCATTGAGCATTGCCACGATCAGCGGAGCTGATTTAAATTATCCAGACAAAACGAATAAAGCATGAAACTTAAAACGCAATTTTCTCAAATTGGGTAGGATAAAACAAAAAATTGACAGAAAATAATCAACTGACAAAAAAAACTGCTTAAAAATTGAAAAATAAAGCAGAGTTATCATGATGCATTTTATTTTGCAATTATTGCGACTAAATTTTCACCCCCAAAGTTTGGTCGGTCCGCTTGTTTTTAAATTAAACAAGAACTGCGCTAAAACAACCAAGTTAATTGATGAAAAAGTAGTATCAAATTAAGCTTGTTGCTCGAACCAACAATATTCTAGAAAAGTAAGATTAGATTTTAGATTTTGTTCTACTAGAACGTTGTTTGTTTGTGTAATAGGCTTCTTTTGATAACAGTTTTTCATCAATTAACTTGACCGTTTTGGCATAATTCTTGGTTAAACAACAAAAGCCAAAAAATGACCCACCTTCTCAAAAGAAATTTTGTTCGGTTAATTGAAAACAGCACTGTAGCAGTCGAAAGATTGGTTGAAACGTTCTGTTAAATGTGAAACATCTAGACGAATCTGATTTAGCTGTTGTCCTGAAGGCGGATGTCCCAACAAACCACCATGTATACAAGTTAAAATTATATGAGCGTTACGTAGCAATTGCATAAAAACAGTGACAGCTTAATATTTATGTTGCATAACAATAAATATTATTTTCCTGGGCTTGTTAAAACTTTCGGCCTGTTGGCCATTCGGCTTGTTGGCTATTCGGCTTGTTGGCCATTCGGCTTGCTGGCCATTCGGCTTATTGACCCTTGGGCTTGTTAGCCTACCTACAAGCAATGGTTATAAACAGTACCTCTGAGTAGGTTGGCCATGTAGAATGCTTTGGCTGCCTTGAGCAGCATCTGGTGTTCTTTCTCCTTCGCATGTACAGTCATCCTCACATTGGATCCCTCCTGTGACATGCGCCACTGCATCGCCAGGTACAGCACGAACCCTAGAACACGCAGCCATCGGTTACACAGGTGAGCAACAGAGACGGGGGGGGGGGAGTAGCACAAATCTTTCAATGAATGTTTTTGCTGAGTTGAGTTAAATCTTTGTTTTTAGTTATTGCATTGAAACGTTTATATAGCTTGTTTCAAATTTACAAGGGTAAAAGCTAACTTCCATTTGTCTGCTCCAAAGATAATTGAATGGTTGTGGTTCCTCACGTACGGAACACGAATAAAAGTATCATTGAATGTCTGTAAATTAAAATTAAAAAATGCATTTCAATTTCTAATTGCAATTACTTTCAAATTGGCGCTGAAATATGTTTGGGTTTTCCAGGGGTCATATGCCCTCTCACTGTTACCTGTGATGGAAAAGATAAAAGTGATGAGTGCAGCAGCAGAGACATAGTGGGGCTGTTGTTCGGGAGGGGAGGAGGGGGAGGGGAGTTTGGGTCCGAAATACCAGTCTGCACTCTGGATGATGAAGTAGGGCAACATTGTCACCAGCATCACAAATGCACTGATTGTCACTTCTTTACTCACTTCAACGCCTACAAAGATACGGTTGAAGAGTCGCAAAAAAGTTCAGTTCGAAAACGTTACAACTGAAATTCAGTTTTCGCAGTTCCTCAAAACTGAACTTGCAAACAATTCACAAAGCGTTTGTTTTTCTGACAAAAAAAAATCAATATTAGGATTTGCATTAATTCAGAATTAGTTTTTGCTGTTTTTAGTTTTTCTTTGTTTCTTATTGAATCTTTTTGTTAATTTGGTATCTCAATTTGGAAATATCTGAATTTGTTGTATTAGACTCACATGAACTTAGCCCCAATTATGATTTAGATATCATAATGATTTATATAATTTTTTGGAGTAAATCCTGATCTCTGGGATACCTTGTGTGTAGGGTCTGAGTCCCTTGGAGCAGCGTGCGTCTGGACTAGCAACCAGTCCAAAACAAGTGGGTGCCTGAACCAGGTCCACCCTCCCTACCACAAGACTGGCAGACCAAGCCAACGTCAACAGCAGAATCGTGGAACCTAGAGCGAAAAAAATCAAATTTTCAAATAAAACTGTAGAAACTGTAGATCCCAATCTAAGTGATCGTTTGCGAGTCAAACGTAAAACGTAAATTACGATTTTTATGCAAACAAAAACGGATGAAAAAATGAAAGGAAAAATAATAAAAACGGACAATGAGATGTTCCGAGTTTTGCGCGGCCAAGTTTACTGTTTACCTGCTAGGGTCCCCATTCCGACCGATATCTGCTGCTGGGCTGCTTCTTTCGATCCCAGCCCACTCACCAGAATCATCATGCTGTCTGGAACCACCCCACTAACCGGGAGAATCACACCGCCTATCAGTGCCGGGGCCACTCCTACATCTAGTAACATCTCGGCCCCATCGCTGATTAATTTAGCGCCGAATCCTAACGTCAGTCCGTAGTAGAGAACCAGCACTAGGTTGCCCCCGACGTAGTTGGAACAGGGAAACACCTCGGATATGCAGGAGTCGTGAGTTTCGCTCGGGCTGAGGGGGGCGGGGTCTGCGCTGGCTCGAGTAGATTTGCCAGTCAAATTGCCGGAGTTCACTGAATTGACGCCTGCAACACAAAAAAACTACTAGTACAATTATTTTGTACAAAAAGAACCAGAGCTATAATGAAACATGACGCCATTAGACCTCCTGTTGAACTTAGGTTTTCAAAAAAGCTTTAAAAAAACTCGGCGCTAAATTCGGCTCTAAATTTTTTCTGCTCAAAAATCAGAGGGCACATTCAAATTGGATGCTAACGCCACAATTTGTATCAAATTTACAAAAAATAATATTTATTTACTTGCACGTTTGAAAACTTCATTCGACCGACTGTTATCTGGTGTAAAGTGTCTTTTGTCCACTGCATCCAAAATTTGATTGTCTTCACGATGCCAATGGGTCATGGTATGAACTCGAGAGGTCATAATGAGTAGACAAATCAGCGAGGCCATAATTGAAGACATCCCGTCACCACGGGTCATGGATGTGGCCATGACGGTAAGGACTGCTCAGACAACTTGCTGAAATAATGACAGTTTTTAGGTTTTTTGGGAAAGTTTCAATGAAAATGTTGGCTGTAGATAATATTTATTTTTGTGATTTGGTCTTACTGCTTTTTTATCCAGGCGTTTAAGTTGAAGTTGGTCAGTGAAATAGTTGAATAAATTGAGCGTCGTATATTAAAGACAGCTGCTCGATTAAGGGAAGAAGAGTTAAAACGCCATGCGAAGCACTAGAAAGTAAAAAGAGATAGAGGGAGATAGAGTAAAAAATAGAACAAGAGTTAAGTACTTAGAAGGAAACGACGGTAGTAAAATTTTCTCTTTCCTTTTTTATGCAATATCAAACAAATTCAAATGAGACAAACGAAGAGGTTAAAACACACTGTTCAATCAAAACTACCGTTGCATTTAAAAAAACCAGTCGCAAAACTTATATTAGCATAAAACTGCGAAAAAAAGTACAGCAACACCGCAAGAAAATAGGTAATATGGCGTTTAAAACAAAAGTACAGTTGGCTTTAAAAACAAACAAATCAGGAACAAAACAACCACAACACAACCAAGCTTCAAAATGACAAAAACAGGCATCTGTAATGGGCGTTTCATTAAAAATTCACCTCTTACTTGTTTTTTTTTTAAATCCAGGGATGAAAATGAACAGATTCAAATGATTTCATGGAGTTACTGCTCCGATAAATCGCAACTTAAAAAAGATAGTTTAATATTTTAAAAAATTTAGCTGAATAAAATGAAGCAAAAAATGTCAATAAACATCACAAGGGGCTTAATTCTTTTATTTCAAAATCCATTTACTGCCAGAGCCTTACAACCATTTATTTATTCGAAGAAAATTATTTCAGAATCCTTCTCTTATTTAGCATTTAAGCCTTGTCAATCTAATTGACTGCTAATTGAATTAGCGCGTTGACTTCAAAAAAACGGATCAATTCTAATTAAACGGATGGTATCACAGCACTTTTTTTGCAATCAAAGTCCTTTTTAACAGAGTCATTTTTAGGAGGATTTTTTGGATTCAGGGATCCAGTTAATAACGTCCACCTAAATAGACCAAGTTAATATCTCAACCCTAATATATAATTTAGATTGAAATCGTTCGGCTAGTTTAGGTTGAAACTGTTCGGTGCAAAATACCTCATTGTGCTTGGGTAAGAAACCCAAGTTAGAGCAGGTCAGTATCAGTATGTTAGTATGTTAACAGGTCAGTATCACGCTGAAAGTTTTGACTGCTTTTTAAGATCGATGGAGCAGTGTTCGCTTTGAAAAAATTTGGTGAAATGGATAAGAAAAACGAAAAAACCTCAAAATAGTAATTGAGATTTTTTTTGAAAATCATCACCCCAAACGCTATGTAAAGAACAAAATTGTATATTTCGCATATAGCATAGTATTAGGTAGACTAAATACCAAGCCTCATTTTAGTTTGAAACGATTTCTTAGAGGGATTAAACCTCCGCTTGCTCATCAATAGCACGAAATATATCACGCACTAATTGTCCCAAAGTCAATTGTCTCGAGACACTTAATCATTACTGCTAGTTTCTGGTTATACACTGCATAACCGAAAACAATTTTGCTACCGGATAACTGAAAAAAAAACATTGTTCTCGGATAGCCAAAAAAGATTATTTTCCCGGATAGATAAAAAATATTGCGTTATCAAAGAAGTCACCTTTTCATTGCCGTCTAGTTCCATGAAAGCAAAGCTATTTGACAGAAAAAAATTCTAGTCCATTTAGGTTGGATTATAAATGAGACATTTTATTTGTTCGCTCAAAATTAGTCCTAATTTTGTGACGAATTTGTCTTTTTACTAACGGAATATTTGCTCGGGGTGGTTTTTTTCTTGAGACAAATTTTGATTTTTTAACTAGCCATTTTTGATGGCAATTTTAAAAAACATTCCAAAAAGTTTTTTGTATTGAGCTTAAATTTGAAAAGATATTTCACCTCTGATCGTTTTTCGTTAAGTTATGTGGGTTTAAAGGTTGTCATTTTGGCCAATTTGTGACAATTAACGCGCGATACATTTTGCGCTATTAAAGCGTAAGCGGAGATTTGATCCGTCTAAGAAATCGTTCCAAATTGGATGAAGGAAGCTTATTTGCCATAATTGATATGTTCCTAGGAAAAAATTTATCACTTTGTATTATATATGGCGCGCGGGGGGGGGGGGGGGGGGACCATTTTGACAAAAAAAAAACAATCAAATTTTGAAAAATTTTTCTTTTGATTTTACCTTTTTACATAAAAAATTTTCAAAAATAAAGGTAAAAAATAAAATTAATTTTTTTCTAAAATTTGAAAATTTTTCTATAAAAATCATCCCCCCACACGCCATATTAAGAACAAAAGAATAGATTTTGCTTCTTGTAACAAATCAATTATGGCAAATAAGCTTCTTTCAACCAATTTGGAACGATTTCTAAGACGGATTAAATCTCCGCCTACGCGTTAAGAGTGCGAAATATATCGCGCGTTAATTGTCCCAAGTTAGCCAAAGTGGCAATCTTTAAACCCCCGTAACTTTACGAAAAATAGTCATAGGTGAAATGTCGTTTCAAATTCAAGCGCAAGAAAACAATATCTTTTGATTGATATCAAAAAAATTCCGTCCAAAAATGCTAGTTAAAAATCGAAATTTGTCTGAAGAAAAAAAACCACCCCGAGCACAAATATTTCGTTACTTTCGTTACGAAAATCGGAACAAAAATTATGCATTTTTTTGTTTTGTACCTGCTGAATTTCTTTAAAAAATCCATTACTATTTTTTGAAATTTTGAGCTTCTCAATTAAAATCTCGTGGACCAGATCAATTCTTGTGTTTTTTCACGTGCCAAATTGTATGCTACATACAAATATGGTTGGTCCCGGCAATTAAGATGACAGCTACGAAGACAAAGCAATAGTTTTTAGAACAGTGCACTGACATGACAGTTCAATCGGTGAAATTGTAGGTGGAAAAAATAACTTCTAGTGTCGAATTGATTTTTTGGTTGTTTCAAACGTCATTTTTTAACCAATAGTTACAGGTTTTGATCCGGGAGTTCTTGATGAGGGGTGCGCATTTTCAAAGAAACTTCGAAGTTTTTGCAGGCAAAGTTTTGAAAAGACAGGCCACTAAAGTCCTTTTCAGTCCAAATTTTGGAAAGTTCTGACCACAAATATCCGCTACTAAGTGGTTGTCATACAATTTGCCTATGTATAAATTAAAAAGTCTAGAACACTAAAAAGGAGAAGAACTTGTCTTCGTGTGCGGTCTTTCTCTGTGTTTCTACGTTTTTCCACAGAAAAACAGGTACAACAAACAAAGCGTGAATTATCAGGCATCATTTGCAAATGACAGAAAAAATGGCACTAATTTTGACAAACTTTTTCAAGTTTTTTTTCGAAGACGATAGTCGGAACATTCTGTGCTACTTGCACAGTAGCTGGCTGGCTAACCTTGTTTTTAATTGATCCTACCCGCCTTCTAGCTAATCAAATTCAAGCAAAATGTTCAGGCAATTCAATAAAAACTTACAACAGATAAAACATTAGCCGAAACTACCAAAATGAAAAACTTTTAATTTTTTTTTCATGTAACACGGGAGACTTTTTCCGGCCAAGAAAAGTTTCGTAAAATGGCTTCAGCAGAATGAAAGTTGTATGAATTTGGTTATTTTGACCAACAATTTTTTCTGCTTGAAACTTAAATTGAAATGCCGGGCAATATTGTTTGAATTTGAGTGTCTGAGTAGCCAATCAGGATCAACCTTATTACTGTGAGCTCAAGAAAGATATAGAAATAGTGATTTTGGGCCGTTTAGTGCATAAGACCCGTAAATTATATGTTCAATCAAATAGCGAAAATGTCTACAAACTGGAAAAAAAAAACAATTTTTGCGAAGATATTCCAACCAAGTAACGTATCGCTCCCCCTTTTAAAAATTAGTAGATGAGGCGCCATAAACACTTATGGAAGAAGATTATATGTAACGACTAACCGTGATGATTGTGCTGTCTGTAATGGCTAATCGCCAAAACAGCACAAAATTTAACGAAATATTGGAAGGGAAATCGAAAGGTAATTACAGTGACTCGTTAGGTGGAGTCAATAGATTAGAAGACAGATACGAAATTTAATATTTCCTCCAGGAAGTTCCTTTATTACATTCAGTGTTAGATATGGTAGATACATATGGTTAAAATCAGTGACAATCGCGCGAAACGTAACCAAGTTTTTGTTCATAATGCAATAAATTTACCCCAGTCTAATCTTTGCGTGTAATAATTTTCAAACTTTAATGAATAAATTTTTAAAAAGGAATAATCGTGCTTTAGAGCACATATTTTCAAAGCATTTATTTTTTAAGTCGCTTTTATTTGATTCAAGCTTGAAAGAAAGTAGAAAAAATCAAGAGACTTATGAAAATTTCTGAGAATGATGAAAAAATTGTCTGCCTATGTCTTGGTATACTAACTGTAACAAAAGACCCACTGCTGCTGACTAAAAGCGCGAACAAAAAATGATAAACAAAAACGATTAACGTACTGTGCGAGGTAGCTTGAGGTTAAAGTTTAATGAGGCCTAAATAGGGACTTAAATCACACCACAATCCTTCAATATATCTTCACAATACAAAGGTTAAATGCTATTTTGGCTAAACAGTTGGAAGCTCTTGGCTTGATTTGTCGCTATTCAATCTATTCCTCTTAAATCACCATCTAAAGTTCCTAACACCCCTGGTGCTATGCTCAGCGAAGGTATTAGGAAGGTAAATTAAGTTTGATGGCGCTTTAATTTTCTATACTTTCATCGGTCGAGATAATAGCTTTTAAAATCGAACAGTCGCAAAGCTACCTGAGTATTTGGTGAATTTAGTCCAAGTAAGAAGAAAAAGAAGCGAAATCAAAAACTTACATCACGTTCAAAATGAAATACCGGAAACATGCAAAATGCAACTTCAGGTCATCTAAACCATACAGTATTCAGATTTCCATAGTTGCGCACGGCCATG